ACTTTTTTACTAAAATTATTGTTTAGATAAAAAAATCGTTTCGTATTGGAAGAGCTCCCCAAATTTAACCAAGATTAATTGTTATTATTAATCAGAATGAAATAGGATTATTCGAAATTATAAAGTTCTTTTGTAATGTAACCAGCTCCTCCGCCAAGAAATTATGAAGATTTTTATTCGAAATCACAAATCACAACATAAAATAGAAGCTGCTTTTGCAAATATGGCCTATTTAAGAAGTTTTTGCTATAATTAAGGTAAGCTTTAATAAGTTTATTAGAAAAATTAAAATAAAAACAATTTTTAAAGAAACTAACTTTTTTATGTCCAATTAGCTCCCTCTACGAGCCATCTCCCAAATTAATCAAATCAAACTAATTACTAATTATTATTTATATAATAATAACAACTTTTTTATTGTAAAAATTTATTATTTATATTATTATTTTTTTTTAATTAGTTAAAAATGCTAAGAAAAATCATTAAATTATCATTTAGAGTAAAAAAAATATTAAATTATTAGAATTACTTTCAAGAGATGGCGCTACTTAATAATTAAAGAATGTAAACAAAGTAGATGTAACCTCACTTTTTTATTGAAATTATTGTTTAGATCAAAAAATCGTTTCGTTTTGGAGGAGCTCCCCAAATTTAACCAACATGAATTGTTATTATTAATCAGAATGAAATAGGATTATTCGAAATTATAAAGTTCTTTTGTAATGTAACCAGCTCCTCCGCCAAGAAATTATGAAGATTTTGATTCGAAACCATAAATCACAACATAAAATAGAAGCTGCTTTTGCAAATATGGCCTATTTAAGAAGTTTTTGCTATAATTAAGGTAAGCTTTAATAGATTTTATTAGAAAAATTAAAATAAAAAAAAAATTTTACAGAAAATAATTTTTTTATGTCAAATTAGCTCCCTCTATGAGCCATCTCCCAAATTAATCAAATCAAACTAATTACTAATTATTATTTAAATAATAATAATAACTTTTTTATTGTAAAAATTTATTATTTATATTATCATTTTTTTTAATTAGTTAAAAATGCTAAAAAAAATCATTAAATTATCATTTAGAGTAAAAAAAATATTAAATTATTAGAATTACTTTCAAGAGATGGCGCTACTTATTAATTAAAGAATGTAAACAAAGTAGATGTAACCTCACTTTTTTATTGAAATTATTGTTTAGATCAAAAAATCGTTTCGTTTTGGAAGAGCTCCCCAAATTTAACCAAGATTAATTGTTATTATTAATCAGAATGAAATAGGATTATTCGAAATTATAAAGTTCTTTTGTAATGTAACCAGCTCCTCCGCCAAGAAATCCAATCCTTCCTCATCCTACAAAAATCACAACAGAAAATAGAAGCTGCATATATGGCGTATTTAAGAAGTTTTTGCTGTAATTAAGGTAAGCTTCAATAACTTTATTAGAAAAAAATTTTTTTTTATGTCAAATTAGCTCCCTCTTTGAGGCATCTCCCAAATTAATCAAAGCAAACAATTTTTAATAACTTTATTTTCAACAACAAACACCTTCTCTCAAACTTTTCCTCTCAAAATATCTTTGCAAGGCTTCATCAAACACAATTCCAACAGTTCTTTTCTTCCAAATATCCAATTTTGGCTTTTTCTCTTCTTTCACTTCATCAACATTCTTTCCAGCATCTTCAACACCTTCTTTATCATTTTCTAAATCGGTTTTATCTTTTAAATCATTCTTTACTTCATCATCTTTTTCAACAATTTCATTCTTATCATTTTGATCATTAAGATTAACGTCGGAATCTTTTTTAATTTTTTTTATTTTTCGATTACCATCATTATCAACATTTTCATCATCTGATGAAGACGAATCAATACTAAAATCGGAATCTGCGTCTAAATTCGAAGGGAGGTGTTCCATTTTTTTAACTTCTTCTTCATTTTCATTTTTAACCTCATTTTCTTCAGATTCTGATGATTTTCTTTGTCGATATTTTCGATTTTTATTTAATTTTTTCTTTTCTACAATTTCAATTTTTTTGTCATCAATTTTATCATCGATTTTTTTATCAACTCCATCATCATCACTTAATTTATCCTCATAATTGACTTTTTGGTCGTATAAATGCCTATAAAACCCATCTAAATTTTCTTGTTTAGTAACATCACCAATTTTTTCTAAATATTCCTCTCTTAATTCTTCCTCTTCCATCTTTTTAAATTCCTCCAATTTTTTCCGATAAGCTGAAGTCACAAAAGATTCCTTATCTTTGAATTCTTCACCCTCAGCCTCTCTTTCTTTTTGCACTTGGCGTTCGATTCTTCTTTCATTTTCTCTCTTTCGTTTCTCAGCCATCACCAATAAGCGATTTATGTACTTTGGCTTTTTCTCTTTGTCTTGAATGGAAGCTTTCGATTCTTTACGTTTTTGCTCAATATCGTCGTATAATTCATCATATTGATAGATTGTTGGATCTTCTTCAACAGCTTTTTGTATCGTTATTCTATCTTGGCGTTTTAAATTCTTTGTAATTCCAGTTGGTTTATCATCTTGTTCTGAATCGTCATCAGAATCTTGTTCAAATATTGACGGTTTTTTAACTTCGTTAGCTGGGGTTAATTTTGATTTACTTGGAATAATTAACCCGTATTGCTTATTATTCGACATTTTTTTTAAATATAAACTAACTTTTTCCTTAAAAATCGATTAAAATTAAGGAGAGAACGGTTTTATTTTTTGAGGTTATGTTTACGAGTTTACGTCAAATTACAGGAAACTGTAAAGTTGTTTCTTTAAAAATTAATTAAGAAAATAATTTTAAATAATGAATAAAACGATTACATCACATAAATTATAGTAGTATATCTATATCTTAGATCCGCGATCTATTGTACTCCGATAGATAACAATGCTCTGAACGAACCTTAATGTCTTGCTAGGTGAAAAGTCATTCTGATCCTTTGGGGAGATAAACTGCGACCCAAAAATGGAGAATCTGATACGATTAACACCTGGACAGTGGCATAAAACATGCTCAGCCATCTCCTTGTCTTCAGCACATAGCCGATATTCGATATCGTCGGCTAGGCCCAAGTTGAGGTGTGTCTTTAATCGACAGTGCCCAGTAAAGAATAATGCTGCTACGAGCAAGTCCTAAAAGACAAGACTCCATTGGTTGGAGACTGTATATGGTGCGAATGATTCTTTTCTGGGCAACAAACACCCTCATTCAGTCAGCAGCTCTGCTCCAAATGAGAGTGTTATATGCCAAAACTGAGTGCGCAAGGGCATAACATGCACTCAAGGCACCACCGACATTCAATGAGCCTTTTAACTTTAGAAGTGCAAAATATGCAGAATTCCATTTTTTTTACAGGAATACTTGACTAGGAATAAAACGAAAACGTCAAAAATGTTAAAAAATCAATCATATCTTCAAAACTAGAACAGATGGAAGAAAATGTTCTGTATAAAAATTGTTGATATTGAAGCAATAAAGCTTAAATCATAACAAAGTTTTATTCCAGCTATCATCATTTTCTAGGAATAAAGCGAAAACGTCAAAAATGTTAAAGAATCAATCATAACTTCAAATCTAGAACAGATGGAGGAAAATATTCTGTATAAAAATTGTTGATATTGAAGCAATAAAGCTTAAGTCATCACAAAGTTTTATTCCAACTGTCACTATTTTCTAGGAATAAAGCGAAAACGTCAAAAATGTTAAAGAATCAATCATAACTTCAAAACTAGAACAGATGGAGGAAAATATTCTGTACACAAATTGTTGATATTGAAGCAATAAAGCTTAAGTCGTAACAAAGTTTTATTCCAGCTGTCACTATTTTCTAGGAATAAAGCAAAAACGTCAAAATGTTAAAGAAAATAAGTTACAGTCCACAACGGCAGGAAACGTTTGAACGCTTGGTCGGCGGATGTGTGAGTGACGACACACCCCAATCCGTATTTGAGGCAGGACTGCTACATCCATTGTTGTGACAATCTGCCCGCAAACTACGTCACACCATTTTCCACGCCCAGGCTGTTGATATTATTTATACAAGGCTAGGTACTGCTACCAATAGACTACAAATTGGTTCCAGAATACTAATACTGCTTGTAGAAGATTAAATATTCCTAGCAGAAAGCTAAATACTGATAGACAATTTTACAAGCTCATTTACGGCGGTAGTTTTTAAGTTTTTGTTGATATAATTTTTTGATACCCATAAACATGGGTACATTCTATATAAACCTATAAATTTTTCCCAAAAATCTTTTTCGGCGAACGATGCCATTTCGATGGACGTTGGAAACAAACTAAAGCGATACTTTCGGTGTCGTAAGCACGTCGCAATCCCATATACGTTGACTCTTGCAAGGCGCCGGAGCCTGCCACGGTCTTGAATCTGTCGCCGCTGCCATCGCATGAGTCCTGACGGTCCTGACGCTTCCCTACAAGTAGTATAGATTCGCCGATTCTAGAACCTCCTCCTCGAACCTGCGTTCTAGGAGGAGGTTCTTGAATCGGCAAATTTTTTGGGGGTATACGGAGGTTCTTGAATCGGCGATTCTTTTAGGGGTCGGAGGAGATTCGATAAGGAGAAGAAGAGGTCATTAACTTGAGAAGGTCATGTTATTTTGACGAAATTATTAAAAATTTATTTATTTAGGTCATGTTATTTTGAGAAAGTTATTAAAAATTTATCTTTATATGTAACTTGTTTACCTAGATGAAAACAATGACTATGTTTATCCTTCGACGTTTCTCAATGAACTGTTAGAACATGTCTTCGATATATCTTTTAACTTATTATACACAAAAAGGTATACGGTTTTGAGTCATGTAGGTATACAAATAAGTGAGTCATGACCTACCTGCGAGATATTTTTTATTTTATTATGTAAAGGTATAGGGGGCTTTAAAATATGCGAGGTGGTTCTTAAATCGGCAAATTTTTTTGTGGGATACGTTCGAGGAGGAGGTCAATTAACGTGATACTAGTAAGTGAGTCATGATCTACCTGCGAGATTTTTTTAATTTATTATGCAAAGATATGCGGAGTTTAAAAATATACATGTATACAAACGCACTCGATGCATCCTCCTCCTCCCAATAAGTTTCAGGAACGGTGAGGGTTTATAAACGCCTGCGAAATGTGGTATTGACGTAGTTCTTTCATAACAAGTAGAAGTGTACAACATTAAATTGTAAAATGGTCGTGTGTGAGGATTGTGGAAAAAGTTTTACTCGAGTTGACAATTTAAAAAGGCATCAACAATTATCTTGTATTGGCAAGAGAATCAAGCTTGACGCACCGCAAATTCCAAAAGCAGTAAAATGTGAGGCTTGCGATGATTATGTAAATAGACAATATTACTCTGCACATTTACGAAGCAACGCACATAAGAGTACCGCTTTTGTTATAATCGATGATGGAGTGGAGAGAATAGCTGGAGCATTCGGCGATAAAATCGTCAGTTGTCGAATAAGTGAAGGTTTTTTTGTGGATTTGGATGAATTTTCACATAGAATTCGAGAAAAAATACTAAATCTGATACAAAGCGCCATCGATATTCACCGAAATGTAAAATTAAATATGGAATGTTTTGGTTTGTATTTTTTACAATCAAAGGAAGATTGTGAAATAACATCATTCAATACGAAAAATAAGGTAGTATCATTAGCGTCGGATCTATATAAAATATATAAGGAATTTATTGATGAAATTTCATCAAAAATGTCAGAATTTCAGGAACGAGATTCAGGTAAGCATAATGAGACATAACATACTGATGCATTAAAAAAATATATGTTTCAATCTTTTATTTAGGATGGACTTTAATGCAAATCCTCTATATGGAGTTAAATTTAAACAAATATAATCCTATAAGAGCATCTAATTACATCGATTTACCGTCGCAAATAAAAGCAAAGCATGCTGTGATAAATATACAAAACGCGGATGATGCATGTTTTGCATGGGCTGTAACATCCGCACTACATGAACCGAACGGTTTACCACAGAGGACATCTTCGTATCCGAATTACCTAGACTGCGGCTTAGACTATTCAAATATTGTTTTTCCAGTTAAATTACGAGATATACCTGTATTTGAAAAGCAGAACAAACTATCTATTAATGTATATGGAATAAATGAGTATTTTAAAGACGGTGTTATGAATTATGACATAATTACAATGTATATATGTCGACAAAAAGAAGAAAGACATATAAATTTATTATTGGTTACAAATGATTCCGGGAATAGTCACTATTGTTGGATAAAAAATCTGTCTCGATTACTATCATCGCAAGCATCGCAGAATGGTCATGAAAAGTATATTTGCGACGGATGCTTGGTATTCTTTACGTCAGAAAATAAACTTATCCGTCATCAAAGTGACGATTGCAGCAAGGTAAGGGCAATTTTACCAACAACAAATTTGAAAATAAATAAATATGGAAATGAAGAAAAGGAAAATATACTACAGTTCGAAAATTTTGAACGACAATTAAAAATACCGTTCGTGGTGTATGCAGATTTTGAAGCATTACAGAAACCGATCGCNTTGATAAAAGTTGTTGGTACCTAGCGTTTTTTGTTTTCGAGTTATTTTGATTTTAAGTGTTTTTTGACAAATTTCACCATGGTCTTTAAAAGCCCATATCTCAGCTAACGATCATTCAAAAAAGCTCTGCATTGGCACGACTACTCTACAGATGCTGCCAAATAGATTGTCATTTGTTGTATCAGAGAATCTTATACAGGCTGGTCAAAAATTGAATTATCGTTTCTCAATATTCAATTGCGAGAAAGTCGAAAATTTTAAATGGAACACCCCATATTTCTTTACCCTATCAGAAAGGGAATTTAATTCTCTACAAATTATCTATAAACATTCCTATACCTATTTATTGTAGTTTCCCTGATATTGGAAAATTAATCAAAATCAGACATAGAATCCCAAAGCCCGTTTGTGTTTTTGTTAGCAGGCCAAGACATTTTGACAGTTCATCGTTTAATTTATTTAAATTATTATTGGTATTATTTCTACAATTAACTATGGTTGAATAACCTTTAGCTTGCTCGCTTTTATTTACCAAAAATAACCAACAGAAAAACGAATAAATGAAACAATAAAAAACAACAATTTAATAACAGAAATTAGAATGAATAACATATAAAAAAACAAAAACTTAAAACTGTTCGATATGCTGACCATTCATCATTAAACATTTTTCAACTCTTCTTTCGACTTCTATGGTTGTGGCCCGTAGAAGTTGGTCGCCATCAATAGTACGTAGTGCACGCACCACTCTATCACGCAACTCTTGTTGTGTGTTGACCGGTGAATTGTACACTTGATTTTTTAAGTGACCCCACAAATAAAAATCCAATGGTGTTAAATCTGGAGATCGTGGAAGTCATTGCCATGGTCCATTTCTTCCAATCCATCGGTCATCAAACAAATTGTTTAATTGTTGGTAAATTTGCCCTGAAAAGTGTGCTGGAGCGCCATCCAGTTGATACCAACAATTTATAAATGTGTTAAGAGGCAAACTTTCGCAAAAATCAGTAACTGTACCTCTTCAAATTTTTAAGTATCGTTGACTGTTTAAATTTTCAGAACATTAACAGAACAAAAACGTTAAAACTAAATTTTTGTTGAAAATTTGCCTCTCTGACTGCATGAGGATTTTCGGCAGCCCAAATATGTAAATTTTGTAACAAATAAAATAAATAAAATAAATTTTGTTGTTTTATTAACAATACCCTCCCTCGAAAATTTTGATTCATCTGTCCAAATAAGTCGCGATAAAAATAAAGGATTTTCTTGAATTGTAACTAACATAAATTCGCAAAATTGCTGTCGTTTTATGTAATTTTCCGGTAAAAGGCCCTGTAAGATATTGTATTCATAAGGATGCATTTTGTATCGGCGTAATATTCGATGCAATGATGGGCGAGATATTCCTAGAGAGTTCACTTTATTTATTAAGGAAGTTTTCTTAGCAGATATTACTTACCTAAATCGACCGAGGCACCTCTTACTGAAGAATTTAGGTAAGCAATAAAATATGATAAGACATTTATTTCATTATCTTCATCACTGGTGATAGGGAATTTACGGTTTCTTGTTGTTTCGATGTTTGTAGAACTAAGAAAACCATTTTCAATTTTTCGAAATTTTTTTTTGTGATAGGCGTTAGGTTTGGATATCTCTCATTAAATGTTCGACACGTCCTATCCAAAAATTTATTATATTCGCCATGAATATAATAGTTATTTATATTACAAGTGGGCTAGAAACATAATTACAGTACGAGTCGTGTAATCGCACGAGTACTGTAATTATGCTCTAGCCCACGTGTGATATACAGCATTTTATCTACGACTGCTAAAAATTACTAAAAAATCAATTTCTTTAAAAAAGTCTAATTGACATTTATAAAAATATTTTGAAATGATTGTTGACAATTTTGAATTGTCAGTTTCAACAACAGGTTTACTCATCTGGAATAAGTGTTTTGAAATGTAAAAACATAACAATTAATGTTTATAATTAATAGTATTGTTTCTCTGTAAGTAGATAGCATTTTTTCTTTTGTATTGTTGCTCGTTTCAATAAATTAAGTCTGTTCTGATTAGGCTAAAAATGCGTTACGCAATGAAACCAGTGCGGTAATGAACTTCATTACGTAACTCAAATCACCTCAAATGAGTGCGGTAATGATGACTTATCCAAGCAGTCGTAGATGAAACAAATTTAAAATATCGGCGTTGAAATAATTTGCCATGATATACAATGACTTTCACTCGTGGTCAAAAGTAAGTAACACCAACAATAACACAAATATCGACCAAAAACTGTCAAAATTCCATGGCCTTCTAATAAAAAAAATCAAACGTTTTCCCGCATTCCGTGCATGCTTTGATTAATTTCCCAATATCAGGGAAACTACAATAAATAGGTATAGGAATGTTTATAGATAATTTGTAGAGAATTAAATTCCCTTTCTGATAGGGTAAAAAAATACGGGGTTAAGATACAAAAGTTTTAGTGCCTTA